ATGAGGACAACAAAATACTGGGCCTAAGTTGAGATTATTTTTTGAGTAACTCAGCTCACTTAGAAAATGAACTGTTACATTACCACAAACATAGAGGAACCGATGTATAGGTAGATACAGGTTTCAATACCAATAATTCTACATTATTTCTTTATTCAGGACACATGCCTATTTTATACCTGTCCCTAGATGTGTATTTAGGCCGACATTTTCTTTTTTTTTTTTTTTGTATGCAAAAGTTAATTTATTTCTGTTGGTTCGATTCAAAAATGGTATTGAATTTCAGATATGTTTACGCCCCTGATAGGAGTTATATAAAAACCTGGGCCTATGTTTTTTTTTGTACCTTCACCTTATGGCCACAGATGTTAAATATTATTTGATGGGGTCAAAATTTACCTAATCGAAATAACGAGTTTAGACCCTAGGTATTTTTGAACGAAATCAGTTTAGGGCATGCCTCATCGTAATATTTACATAAGCCTTACCTCCGGCGAGAAAATGGACAATATTGACCAACTTGTTCTTGGACATGGCCCACAAAAGGGCAAAATGTAGAATATTGACCATCCCAAATAAATATAAATCAAGCAATCAATATTTTTTCCTATATCGGAGCAAAAAAGTTTAACATTTGGGAAAAAAATACAAATTTTATATTGAACGAAAGGAAAACGATGTAGTTCAAACTTAGAACATCGTAATATTGAGAAAACATCCTCAAAGTGGAAAGTCAATATCGGATTACAGGGTGAGATAGAAAAACTGCAACTAAGTCAATAGCCACAATTTTTACATTTTTTTTATATTTTTTGAATGAAAGCAAAAAAATGTCGGAAATAACATCCAATTTTAGAATAAGTTTAGATTTGTTCGAATTGGTCACCTCTGGCATGAATTATGACCTTCAACGGCCAATAAAACCGCCACACGCTGCCCGAATGTTGCTCTGCGGTATTTTGGCCCATTCTCGGCGAAGCGCTTGCTTGAGATGATCGACACTTTGGTATTTTTTAATGCCAACCTTGCTCTCCGAAATACTCCAGACTCCAGGATTGGTATCCGGAGATTTTGGTGGCCAATGTGCCCTGGAAATGAAGCGGGGAACCTAATTTTGTAACCATTCTTGGGTGGCACGTGCTGAGTGCGATGGTGCTGAGTTCTGTTGGAATGTCCAAGGTCTGCTGCCAAAATGTTTGCGTGCCCAAGGCTTTAATACACCCTCCAGAATATTTTCGCGATAATATTCGGCATTTATTCTGATGTCACGGTCGATTAATACGAGTGGAGAGCGACCATCGGCTGCCCACACCATCACCATAGCCGGCGCTTAAGTTCTGGTGGCCAACCGAAGGTGCACATTTTCAGCTTACCTCTTTGGCAAGTAAACACGATCATTTTGTTTGTTTACAAACTGCTGGACAACGAATGTTTTCTCATCGGAGAAAACCAAATTCGGCAGTTCATCACTTTCGGCCAAGCGAAGCAGCTTTTTAGCTCTCTTGAGTCTATTTTCTTTTTGTTGCGGTGTAAGTTCTTGGAATTCCAATTTTCAATGCTTTTTGGAATTTCGATGGCTTTACACCGATCTCGTTTTTCAATATTTGCCGAATGTAATACTGCGATATGTTCAGCTCACGAGCCGTTTTTCGGCCAATGCGACGCGGGATTCGATCAAGTCGCTTCTTTACTTTTCGAACCATTTCTGCTGATGTTACTGTTTTCTTCCGTCCACTTCCTGGACAGTATCACGGTAACGAACGATGGTACGAGACACAAAAGATTTATTCACATTTAAATGCTGGAATGCTCTAACGATAGTCACTTGTGGTTTTCCAGCCAAATATAAAGAAATCACACTATCACGTTTGAATTCCATCACGAATAACTTTTTTTTCTGGAAAATTCTCACCAAAATGCTTTTGTACGCTTGTAAACAATATAATGAGCTGTGTTGGAATAATTTTAACAGCTATCGGTCGAGTGGCTTAGAAATGACAGCAGCCTGAAGTTGGTTGCAGTTTTTTCGTCTCACCCTGTTTATCCTTTTCCGATTTGTTTTTTATTGTGTAACAAATGTGTAAATTGAGCCTAGAATCAAGTATGTAAAATTTGGTGCATATCGATTCAGATATAGCTATAGCTTCCATATACATTTTTCATCCGTTTTGTTATTTTTTTTCATCACAGCCGTAATATAAGCTCCATAACAACTATGTTCGAGAAGAGATATCAAACACAGCTCGGAAATAACTGCACCAAATTTTATGGAGATCGGTTCAGATTTGGATTGGGCTCCCAGATATATAAATATATATCTTTATCCGATTTCAATGATGAATATAATCCCGAAGATATAGCTATAGGTCCATGTACGTTTTTCATCCGATTTAGTATTTAAGTCCCTCAAACCCATAAATTGCATTCCACAGCAACCATATTTGGTGCCAGTTCCTCTGCTAAACTTTACAGAAATCATGACCGAACTTTGAATACCCTTCACCAATTGGAAAAATAGTTGAAATTTCTCAAAAAAAAAAAAAAAAAACCGTTGAAAAACTTCTAAAATCATAAAAATATAGGGAGTATAGCGATAACTCCTGGATATTGCTAAAGTCATCATAAAACCGAATATCGGGTATCCGAGGCCGGCATATACAATTTTCGGTCACAGGCTGTAGCACTCATTACGAACTTAAAATACGAAATTGGAAACACACTTCGCTAAAGTCATCAAAATACCTAATACGAAGACGTGGACCTATATATGCAATTTTCTGTCACAGGATGTAGTACCCATTAGGAACTTCAAATTGCAATTTTTACTGTGCAAAGTGTGACACAAATCATCAAAATTCGGAAGCTAGAGTGATTTCCACAGACGGACTGCGGATATCGTTGAACAGACATAGAATTTTATGAAGATCACGAAAATATATATAGCATTTTCCGGTTAAATGAAACCTTTTGCAATTCAAATGAAACTTTTTGCAGCGGAAATGAAACCTTTTGCAGTGGAATTGAAACCTTTTGCAGTTAAAATGAAACCATTTGCAACCTAAATGAAACTTTTTGCAAATCAAATGAAACTTTTAATTTTAAATTTATTGAAGGAAAAATAACAAAACATTTTTATTTTTAGTAGTTTTTAAATTAAATCAATTAATTATAACTAATTTATTGACAAAGAGGCTTTTTTATTGATTATAAATATCTACATTTATTTATATTATTTCTTAAATCTTCAATTATTGTAATAACAATTGGTTCTTTATTGATTTGATATAAAATGCTTCCATATTATTCAATTCCAAATGCTTAACGCTAAAAACTAATTTTGGCCTTTATAGGTATGGTCAGGACTGAAATTGTGAAATTAAGCTTTACCACAATTTTTTAAGAGTTATAGTATACTATTAATCTTACCTAATAAAGGATTCTCGCTTCACAGCTTTATTGATTATGGAGATAGAGCAGTCGTGATATCAATAGAAATCATTAAATCAACTATGATCATGATTGTATATACTTTATGGGGTCTATGACGAATAATATATATTTAATATATTCTCCTTTCCATGGAGGAGATTATAAAAAGGTACCTAATTCGGGTCCTTTGAAAAAAATACATTGAAAAACTTTTTTCAATCTTTCTGCATCTACACTTGTGCTTTAAGAAAAAATTTTATAAAAACATAGATATTAATAATCAATAAAAATTCCTCTTTAACTATATATTAGTTATAATTAGTTGATTTAATTTTAAACCTACTAAAAATAACAAGTAAAAAAGCTGTAAGTTCGGCCGGGCCGAACTTTTAATACCCTCCACCATTTGGTACAAATTTGGTAATTTCCAAAAAATAAAATCCGTTAAAAATTCTGTTAAAATCTTAAGAATACCGAGTGCTTATACGACGACGTGGGCCTCCATAGGCATATTTTGTCATAAGTTATTACAATAATTTAAATGTGAAACTTGAACAAAAATCTGTTTATAATGTAGTTAAAATCATTAAAATACCGAATATGGGGGGGGGGGGGTACCGTTATATGGGGGCTATTCGAAAACGTGGACCTGCACAGACAATTTTCTGGCATGGACTGAAGTATCCATTACGAACTTCACATGCGAATTTTGAAACAATCCCGATAAATAATGTCGCTTAAATCATCAAAATACCGAAAATCGGGGGGTACCCTTATATGGGGGCTATACGAAGACGTGGACCTACATGGCTCATTTTTTGACTTAGGATTTAGTATCCATTACGAACTTCAAATAACAAATTTGAAACAATTCCGGTGAATAATGTCGCTAAATTCATTAAAATACCGAATATCGGGAGGTACCGTTATATGGAGGCTATATGAAGACGTGGACTTGCACAGACAATTTTCTGTCTTAGGATGTAGTATCCATTTCGAACTTTAAATACCAAATTTAAAACAATTCCGGTGAAAAATGTCGCTAAAATCAGTAAAATACTGAATATCGGGAGGTACCGTTATATGGGGGCTATATGAAAACGTGGAACTACATGGCCCATTTACGAACTTAACCTGCCTACTGGAAAACTAAACATGTGTGCAAAATTTAAGCCATCTATCTCAATTCATTCGAAAGATAGCGTGATTACAACAGACAGACAGACAGACAGACGGACAGACAGACGGACAGACAGACAGACAGACGGACATAGCTAAATCGTCTTAGAATTTTACGCTGATCAAGAATATATATACTTTGTTGGGTCTGACATGAGTATTTCGAGGAGTTACAAACGGAATGACAAAGTTAATATACCCTCCATAGAATGGTGGAGGGTATAAAAATGTTTTGTTATTTTTCCTTCTAAAAGTTTCATTTCGGTTGCAAAAGGTTTCATTTAATCTGAAAATGCTATACATAGAATGTGTATATCTGCCGGTAAACCGACGTACTAACTTGTTATTTTTAATTCCATCCCTTATTACCTCTTTCTTTTAATTCAAAACACTTTATGTTTTTTATAAGTAAAATCATAAAAATTATTTATTTTTATTTGTAATATTTGTTGTTTACAGTGGGTGTTTTTTTTTTCATCTCTTTAATATTTATATATAACACACATATATACATATTTATATATGTATTTTTTGTTTGCGATTTTAAGTAAATTCGTTACTTAAATTTAAATAATTGTTTGTTTAATAATGAGCATAGAAAAATATCGATTTCTATAGTTAAACAAAATTTGACAAAAATTAAAAAGCATTTTAAGAATATTATGGTTGGTGGAACATAAATCTCTAAATAAAAATTAAAGTTAAAAAGATAACTAAACAAAAAAACTTATATAATATCTTTCATATAAGATGGTTGTTCTTCTTTGAAATAACGAAAGGGAGTTTTAAAAATAATTATAATAAACTAAGTTAAGTGATTTTCTTGGATTAGACGCCTTAAGATTAAGGGGGGTTTTAGAAACTATGGCTAAAAAATTGTTTTGTTTTAGTTTTTGTTTTTTATAAAGTAAACTGAGGTAGCATTCTTCTTCTCCATCGCTTTTTCTTACTCTTCTTAAGATCTATCTACATTTGTGATATATAATTTTTATTTTAATTTTTTTTTTCATTTGTGACAGTTTTTTTTATTTTGTAACAAATTGTTTTTATTTTACAAAAACTTAAAATTTAATTGAGTTTTAGTTTTGTAAAAAATACTGTCTTGGCACATGTTTATAGCAATTTATTTCTTTTTTTTCTTCTTTGTATAAATTAACGAAATCTCTTTTTCTTTTTTGAGGGAAAATAATTTTCGAAATGATGGCAATTAAAAAAAAAGATTTTTTTTATTTCTTTCAAAAGGAATGTGCTTTTTTGCAAGTATTTTTTGTGGGTTTTGTTTAAAATTAAAACTAACGATTTCTTAAATAATGTTTGAATAAGAATAAAATATTATTAATAGAAAAAAAGAAGATTTTTTTTACAATAAAACGAGCGCAGCTCTGGATTTAAAGTAAAGAACTTAAATTACAATAAAACTGCCAAAGAAGAATTATAACTAGGTTTTAGTTTTACGTCTAAAATAGAATAACACAATTTAACAATTATTAAACGCCTGCAGGGGAGCGTTATTCCCCCAAGCGTTTTAACAACGAAGCACAGGAATCTCTGGAAGCGAAAACAAGTCGTAAATCTTGTTAGACAGAGTTATGTGCTCAAACGTTTACTGGCATATTCTTGGAGTTTTTGCAGGGCCAGTGTCTTGTTGATCTCCACCAAATCGCGCGAGTATTTGGCAGCTTGTAATTGCACTTCGAGTATGCGCATGCGCATCATGTGTTCCTTGCATTGCATGTCCATGAAGGCCCGCAGTTCAGGGGAACTATCCCCATGGAGCTTGGAAGAAGAACTCAGGGAGCCCGTTGAGGTGGTGGCCAAATTCAAACAACTGCCACTGGTATTTTGTTGGGTATCACTCAAGTCCAAATCACCGGCCACAGAGCCTCCGGAACCATTATTTCCTGAGTTACTAATACCCGAGGTACATGGCCTTTTGGCTGGCGGTGATTGATTGTCCATGTCACGATCCTGCTGATTTTGGGCTGCCTGGTGTTGGGCCTGTTGCTGGGCTTGTTGGTGTTGTTGATGGGCAGCAGCTGCAAAATTGGTCTGCAAAGCTGCTGCAGCAGCGGCCGCTGCCGAGGGAAATTGTCCAGTACGCAGGGCATTCAAGGCTTCCAGGGTAGCGGAAATGTTGTTCATATTGAAACCAGGTTGGAATCCGGACAAATCACTGCCACCCTGGGCCATAAAGGCAGCTGGGTTTGGTACACCATGATCTCCACCATTTGTGGACAAATTTGTGGGGCTGTGTCTGCCGGATGAGTGATCCATATCATGTTGTATTTGTGAGTTCTGCTGCTGATGCTGCTGTTGTTGGGGTGAAGTGGCACTTAAACGTTCACCATTGGCCATCATGTGGGAATAGCTTTCGTTTAATGTCTCATCCTTGATATCAATGTCACACAAATCCTGGGGCGGGGTACGACTGCTACTTTTGTGGAAAAAAATCGGAGAAATTAGCAACTTCCTAAGACCCCTGGAGGCTTTGAAAATACTTACTCATCCATATCATGATCCTCAGGATTTTGTTCAGCATCCTCACGATATTCAAAATCTTCTTCCAATGCCAGCGGTATTTTGGAGTAATCAATGCCATCTAGGGCCTCGGACTTGCAGGCCTTTTTGGCCTCTTGCATGAATTCCCATACTTCAAAGGTAAAGGGTGAGGGCTTTTTGCGATCAGCCACCTCGGGGCCGAAACGGGCCAAGCGATTATTGTAATCCAATATTTCATTGCGGGTGCAGGCTGCAAATAAAGTGAATCGAAGTTAATAAACTGTATTTTCCCTCTCCCTCTCTCTCCACACTACTCACCTTTCATTCGACGCCATTGCTCCTTTAAACGATTGCACGTACGATCTGTGCCAAATTGATTTGAAAATTTCTGATGTATTATTTTCCATGCCTTGTTCTTAACTGCCGTCAAGCCGGCATCCAAACGTTTATTCTCTATGATGCGCATATCCTTGCGACATAGATCCAGGAGAAATTTCTTCTCCTGATGATTCCAGTTTTGGGTACGTTCACGTTTCTTGTACATATTCATGGTGGGACTGTTCAGATATTGTTGCATTTCTGGAAAATAGAAAAATATTTATTAGGAAATATATTTAATATTGAAAATTGAAATTGGAAGTGTATTATACACTACCCTTAATTAATTTCATATCATTGCAAAAATTAATAAAATTATAAATGGGAAAATTCTGAGCTTTCATGTTTTTAATTGTTTTCATGATTTTCTGCTGCCTATTTAGAAGTCAATACTAACTAGATGGGAAATTTAAAATTAGTCAAGCAACCGTCTCAGTGTTTATTTGAGAAGAAAAAAGCCAAAACTTCAATTCAAATTAAAAATAACAGACGTCAGAGAAATGAAAATGTCTCTTAAAATAAAAAGCTACTAAACTCCATGTTTTTAGATAGGGCGCCATCTACACTCTAACTAACTCTAATCTTTGTCTTTGTGTTTGGACAAGGTTGTCTACATTTTCTTCGCGCCATCTATATGTCAATAATGTTACGTTAATATCCAATAAATTATTATTATGGAGAGTTCTTTCAGAATTCGGTCAGAAGAAATTAAATTAGTAGTACTGATTTGTATGGAGTATTGATTTGTTATTCTAGCTTTAGAAAAAAGTTAAATAAATTTCCTTAGCGCCATTTAAACGTCGATCGTACTACAGTTTGATTTCATTTAAACTATGATGGGCAAGCAGCACGGTAGCAGGAAAATTGTTCTCGGTTTCGTACCTTTTCAGGACGAGTTTCAAAAAAAAAAAAAAAAAAAAAAAACGTAGTTTTAAGTCACATCTTCACTCAAATGGTGATTTCCCGCTAAGGTTTCCTGATTTAATGTCAGTGCCATCTTAGGGTCGGTAATGCCATATTCATTTCCGGAATGTTAATGTACAAACGATGTACTGCACAGTTTGACATACAGTAACATATGTAATGGAAAATTTTGTGAGTTTCGATATAAGTTTCCAAAAATTCTATCCAACACCTTCGGTCCAATGGTATTCCTTAATACTAAACTCCATATTCTTAGATAGGGTGCCATCTACACATCGATAGTGCTACATTAAACTCCGCTATGTCATTAGGATACATTTGCTTAGTTCATAAGTTTTTTAGTTTACTTAAGGTTCTGTCTTTTTATGACAAAATAATGTAACTTTCAAGGCTCTAAACTTTTTTACTCGAAAATATGATCGAATTTTTAAAATATGGTTGGATTTGAAGACCTGCTATCTAGTTTTGATATTAGATCTGGGTTTTCGTTCCCGCACTTCTTGCAAAAATTAGTTATCACATATCAAATTTCACTAGGCTTTACCACAAAAAGTCGGAGAACAAAGCTTTTACTTCAAATTTTAGAATTCAGATTTTCAAGAAAACGGTTAGTTAGCAGAATAATAATAGGTGGTGTTACAATCTAAAGGGCAATAATTTATTTTTCCTAAGATAAAATCCTAATACGAGTTTCTTAAACTTGAAAGGTCTCCTGCTAATTTTTGCAAGACTTCTAACCCATTATTTTCCACTAGAAAATTATTTCTTTAATCCAAGCTTCAAAGTTAATTTTCGATTGCCTAATGTCAAAATGAAGATGGCGTTCGGTATAACAAATTGTACTAAGTCAAAGAACTGCCTCCACATTTTAAACCCTGCCAGAATGAATGTTTTAAAGCTCTGTCCTTTTCCGCAAGTACTTTTCTTTGGCATTTACAGAAATAAGTTTTTTTTTTCGAAAAAATGATTACCAATCAAAACATATACCAAAATATCGGCATTAAGATGGCGCTCGCTGGAACTTTTGGAACAATACCAAATATGTCTTTTCCGCATTTCAAACCCATCCAAGTTTCTAAAAAATGTATCTGGTTTTATCTACATTTCCCACCAAAAATTAAGCTCGTAGTTCCTTAAAAAATTCAAACATATTTAAAGACCCCGCCTAAGGTGATGCTAAACGATTTAGAATACTAAATAACTTATTTTCATTCCGGAATTCATTTCTATTTTCTTTCGCCTAAAATAATAATCCTTGGTACGTAATTCTCGAATAGTAGTTGCCCATTAGCCGGATATCAGTATGGGGATCTATTTAAATATTTCAGCCCCCTAAAATGTGCGCCTAAAAGCATGCATGCACCAATTTATATTTCTTAAGATTACTAATCTTTTTCATGGCATAGATGACGTTCTTTATGAAATATTTTTAATACATTTAGAAACATTTTAAGAATGAATTTACAAAAATTACGACTCCTTGACCTCGATTGTGACTATCATATAAAATTTCAGATTTTAGCCACATATTAACCACCTTTTTTTCTAAATTTCTACACAAAGACCTTATAAGGTTTTATGTCTTTGACGAAAGTTTGCTTCTCAACTTATTTTTCTCATACAATAATCGGCACGTCCAATGTCTATAGATGGCGCTCCCTATTATTTATAATATAATATAATATACAATTATACATATTTTTACCTTTCTAAATACAACATTTTAAAACATCCCTTGAAAAAAAAATTATAATTGGAAATTTAATTTTAGTAATATTATATAATAATTAATAAGATTTTATGTAAGATTATTAAACGTTCTTCAGATGTCAATAGACGTCGCTCCTAATAATTTAACTTTTATATAAATTTCAAACCAATTTAGAGAGAGTTTTTAAAAATGGCAAGCCATTTCGTTCCTTGTCTTCAGTAGTAACCCTATCAGAAAATTTTAGATTTTAGCCATTTATCGATTTTTTTTAATTTCCTCTTGAAGACAATTTAAGTTTTAAGCTTTATAAAATTTATTTTTAGAGAACATTGATTCCTTGTTTACTCACCTCCTTTAATGTCAACTCCTTCCAATAAGCTGTGATTTGTGTTTTGCCAATTGGCAGCAGCCAATTTGACAAATGCCTCCAGATCGGTGGCAGAATATTGTTTATTGACCTGTAATAAAATTGAAAAAAAAAAAAACAAAATTAATTACCATGACATTCAAAAGTTTAAATATATTTTTTATAAAAAATTTAACGATAAATAAACAAAATAAAAATCAATACTTATAAACCAAAAAAGAAAAAACTCATTTATTGTAATTAATACCCAGTATCAAGAAGCTGAAGAATGAAACAAAAAACCCAAAACGAAATTATTTAAAATTCAGCAAGTGTTTGAGGATTGGGTGAAAAAATTCTCAAACTCGCAGACATACACACTCACCCATCGCCACCACCAAAGGCATTGGCTTAAAACAAAAGATGTTATGGCGGATTTCAATATTTAGTATATATGAATATATATTTTTTTATGCGATGGGGTTTTAAAATTGTTTTGTTTTTTTTTTTCGTAATGGTGGTGGCGGATAAATAAACCCCATTGAAATTTACACAAAATTTGCGTATAATCGAAAAAAATGGATTTTTAAAATGTTATACCCTCCTTTCGTTAACAGAGTTTATACTTATCATAATAATAATAAAAATAAGTGAGTGTCTGAGAGGGAGAGAAAAAAATATTTAACATTAAAAAATAATAATCATAAAATTTTTTTAAGCAAAACAATGACCCATAAAATCTTGAGAAGTAAACAGCAAGCGAATGAACTTTATTTTGGCGTTTTGCTGACTGGCAAGGATGAGGATAATCATAACAATAAAATAAGAGGCAAATGATTTTTGTTTTACTTTTTGGAATAAATTCAATTAAAGCAAAAGAGAAAAAAAACTGAATAACAAAATGACAACCCTCTAATGGAGCTGTCAAAATGATGTCGATTCCACTTTTTTATTTCAAAAAATTTTGTGGAATATTTTTTTTTACATTCTTAAGTGTGTGTGTGTGTTTGTGTGCAACCAACACCACCGATTTTTAATTTTTAATATTTCTACAAGGGGTGTAGAATCTCAAAAAGGAAGTTGAATAAGTGTTAAAACTAATTATTAATAACACATTTGTAATTCACTTCCCATTTGCTTGGGCACACACGCACATACACACACCCGCTGCCCGTTTAATATGTGCCAACACGTACGATTTAAATGCGTCATTAAAATTGGAAATTCACCCCAAACTTAGTGGAAATAAAATGCATTTTATTACCATTCCCCCCAAGCCCCAGTAACCTTCTTTTCTCTCTCTCTCTCTCGAATTGTTCCACGAAAAAATGTCTCAGTTTTACTTGTTATTTTTATTTAATCTGTAAGAAAGGTATTATTAATTCATGCAACAACAACAACAACAAATAGTTGTTTTTTATGTAGTGTTTATTTGTTAAATCAAACGATAATACTTTTATTTTCATAAATATCACGTACAACGATATTTTTTATAGTTTTCATATTAAATGAAAACTACGTAGTGCAAAGAAGGGACAAGTTTGAGTTGAAGCGGGAGGAAACGGACTTAACTGCAGTTGTGGATTCTTATAATTTTATCTTAAATTTCAATTATTTTTGTACAAAGTGAAACGCGTAAAATCATGAGAACATTTACCAAAAGGATTAAAAAAAAAAAAAAAAAAAAAACAAGTAAAAAAGCCGGGCCGAACTTTGAATACGCTCTACCATTTGGTACAAAATTGGCAATCTTCAAAAAAATAAAATGTGTTAAAAATGTTGGTAAAATTTAAAAAAAAATATGTATGAATGTAGGATCTACACAACGACGACGACCTGCGAAACACGAAAAAAATTTGTTTATAAATTAGCTAAAATCATCAAAATATCGAATATAGGGAGGTACCATGGGGGTTATAAAACGTGGACCTGCACAGACAATTTTCTGACATAAACTGTAGAATCTGTTACTAACTTCAAATGCGAAATTTGAAACAATTCCGGTAAATAATGTCGCTAAAATCATCAAAATACCGAATATCGGGGGGTACCGTTATATGGGGACTATACGAAGACGTGGACCTGCACAGACAATTTTCTGCCATGGGCTGTAGTATTCATTACGAACTTCAAATACCAAAATTGAAATAGTTCCGGTAAATAATGTCACCAAAATCATCAAAATACCGAATATCGGGGCGTACCGTTATATGGGGGCTATACGAAGACGTAGACCTACATGGCTCATTTTCTGTCTTAGGCTGTAGTATCCATTACGAACTTCAAATACCAAATTTGAAGCAATTCCGGTAAATAATCTCGCTAAAATCATCAAAATACCGAATATCGGGAGGTACAGTTATATGGGGGCTATACGAAGACTTGGACCTACATGGCCCATTTTCAATACAAAAAGTCCTGCAGATATATTACACATTTGAGTAAATTTTTATCAACTTACTTCATTTCGCTCTGAAGCTAGAGTGATTTCCACAGAGGGATAGATGGACGGACATTGCTAAATCGACATAGAATTTTATGCTGACCAAAAATATATATAATTTGTAGAATGACAAACTTAATATACCCTCCATACTATGGTGGAGGGTATAATAATTTTATGACGATATATTTCCATGAAAAAAAAAATATATAATATTCAGCCAAATCAACTGGGAAAGATGGATAAGTCAATAGCGTGAGAGCGGGGTGAGCTAAATAAATCCGTTTAAAGGCCCTCAGAATGTTATAGAAATTTTTTGTGAGTTTCTGAGACCTAAAAATTGTTTATAGAAACGTTTTCGTGGAACTCAGGGGGCTTGAAAATATTATAGAGAAACAAAACATTGACAACCTTTTTCGTGGTATCCTGAGGACTTGTATACAAAATCTTTCGTGGGCTTTTGGGACCTACAATATTTTATACAAAAAAAATGTTAATGTGCCTATGGGCCGCAAAAGAATTTACAATTTATAGATTTCAATTTATAGATTTCAGATGACTTTGTAGAAAGTTTTTCATAAACCTTCGAGGTCTACACGGTTTTATAAAATTTTTTTTCCCGCGGACCCTGTGATTTTCACAATATTATATCGATTTTTGTAAGGGTATGTGAGGCCATAGAAATTATATAGACAATTTTTAGTTGGAAGCTTACAAACTTTGGTATAACCTCGGGTGGGACTCTGAAGTGTACAAAATGTTATAGAAAAAATTTTCCTGATCCCCTGAGACTAACAAAAATATCCTTGTTTTATGAGGCCCACATAATTATCTAAAAATTATAATAATAAAAAAACAATAAAAAATGCTTTAAACATACAGAATTTCAAAGAAAATTTCTAAAGGCTTTGAAAATGTAACATTTTTAATTTTTGTTTTTTTTTTTTTCATAAAGATTTTAAAACAAAATAAATTAGAAAGCAAAATAGTATATTAATATTAATATAAATATATATAAATTAATATAAATTATAATAATTATATATATTAATATAAATATTATATTAATATTTTTTTTCAATTATTTTTTTAATAAATATTTTGGCACTTAAAAATTTTCCCACTTTCACATAATTTATTGATTGACAATTAGGAATTTTTATATATAAATTATAAAAATTCCTAATTGTTCAAACGCATTAAAATATGGTATAATTAAAAAATTCTTTAAATTAATGTTCACTCCATTAACAAGGCGTCCTCAAAGCGAACCCAACGAACAAATGTTATTTGTCGAAATAAAACATTTTGTAACACCATTAATTTATAATGAATCTGAATAAGCACTTTTGGCCTGGAAGCGATTTCTTCTGGGTGTCTTTTCCTTTCATTTCAAAACAAAACAGCAAATCAATATGGTTTTCCTCCCGCCTGCCAATTGTCCTATTTATTCTCAACATTAGAACATATCATATTCTTGTTAATTTTATTTAAAATGAAAACACAAGTTGTATGTATGTCTGTCTGTATGTGTGTGAATGTTTATAAATTTGTTGGGAACACATTTGTTTTATTATCCCCCTCTCTCGACAAAAAAAAAAAACCGGCAAATGAGTAATTTTTCCTATTGCCTTGTATACATACCACCCCCACTGCTCCTAGCGGTAATCGTATCTTCCCAACTGTTTGTCCACTGGCTCCAGATGGTATTTTTGAAATTGTTATGACCATCAAACACATTATCTGTGTGTCTGTATGTTCGAACGTGTGTATTATTCTGGAGCGTTTTTGATTTGTTGTCTTAAGATGTATTACTCCACTTCAAAAAAAAAAGAACGAAACGAATGATATAGAGAGAAAAGAAAAACGAAAAAAAAAAATAATTTTAGAGAATCAAATTTATTTTTAGTGAAGTGATTATGATTATTTTGATTGCTTAATGTAATTCCTTCCTCCATTCTATGCTTTTTTTTTTCTTCATTTGCTTCCAATGAAATTAACACACCATACTCCGCGCCAGCAAAAATAAATATGTATCCCCAAGATATTATTTTGGTTTTAACTGAAACTTTTTTGGAGGGGGATGGAGATGGTGGGGTTGACTGCCCAAAAACAAATGCAAAAGAAGGTGATAGAGGAAATATGATTTGAATTGAATTGAACTGAAGGGTACAAACAAATGTACACATATATATATGTACATATATATTTATAATGTTCATAAGAAATCACACCATCCAGTTAATGGCATTCGCTAATAACAAAAATCTATAACACCATTGAGACATCTAAATTGAAGTAAAGTGATTTAACAGAGACGTGTTATGAAAAATAATATTAAACGAATCGGGAGGAGTGAGTTGTTAAAAGATATTTCGAAAATAATTTATATTTATTGAGAAAATTATTTTAATTTTAAAAGGGAGTGAATTTAGAAACCATAAACAAGAGAGATTCTAGTCTTTTGAAAACATACATTTCTACATTTTTTGTGAACATAATTCAGAATCTATTCGTACTAGGACTGAAATATTTCATATATATGATGTGGTTTCAGGTGTCGAAATCTTAAATTTATCATAAATGTTAGGTCTTTCAAATCACCCCCAGAGATCGGATTTTGAAACAACTTCGAGGGTCTAGAGTCCAATGATGATTTTTTTGTAATC